CAAGACCCTGCACTAGGACATAGGGTGGTCTGCTGGGCACAACAACCTCTGCTGACAGAACATGCTTGACAGCGAGGGGAACTCCTGCTCCCCACGTGTGGAGGGAGGGAGGGTGCGTGGACCCAGTGTGGAGGAGCAGGGGGCATCCAGCCCCCACCCACAGTTCTGCCCAGGGACAGACTCTCCAGGCTGGTGTTGGGACGAGGCTCCCCAAAGGCACGGCCAGGCCCATGGTGTCCTCAGGGGGATGGGCAGGAACCTTGGTGGGAAGCCCGGGGGCCTGGGGGCCTTTTTGGCAATTAAGGTTCAATCTAGACCTTCCCCAGCACTATTTGTGTACATGTCCATGTCCTCCCTTCCAAATCCCCATCAAAGCCGAAATAACTCCTTCCCCACGCTGCCCAGTTCTCCCCCCAGCACGCCCCTGTTGGATGGCTACTGTTTATTTGCTGGTTGGTGTTCCCCGCTAGACCGCTCCCGGAGGGCTGTGTTTCATTCATGCTTGGATCCCCAGCACTGGGCTTTGTCTACTGAACACTTTGTCCACCAGCGTGATTTGATGACAGGACGGACATATGCGTGATTTCGGTGGCTGTCCTATCAGCACCGAACACGTTTTGTCTGGGCAGTTATCTTCCTCGGGGAACTGCCCCTTCCCTCACTTTATGGCCCTGGAAGGTCTGATGGGATTGGGGACAATTCAAAGGTCTTGTGTGAGTCGAAGGGAAGGGCTCTCTGCCACTTCCATGGGTGCCCACAAGGAGGGAGGCTTGGGGCTGCTGGTAATCGCCTTTCCCTCTCCTGGAGAAAGCCTGCCAGGGAGGAAAGCCATCTCCCCAGGGAAGCGGAACAGCAGATGGAGCAAAGACGTTTTCTGAGCTCTGGATCCAACCACGTCCGAAATCAGTCATGCCTTTGGGTTTCCCAGTTTTGGCTTTGGGCTGGGGCTCTGTCACTCACCATCTCAAGTCTCCCGATCCCTGTTCTCATGCCACCTGGGGATAGCGCCAGCCTGCGTTCACCTTCGGCTCCGCTTCACTCCAGCCTCCTAGATGACAGATGTTCCTGTGGTTGGCTTACAATGGGGCCACTCCTTTGGGCTGGCGATGCTTGCCTCACTTAAGAGTGAAATCTGCATGCACTGGGCTGAGGTAACACTAAGATAAAGGGTGATGAGGGAGTAGCCTGGGAATGGAAACAATGGGATAGCAGGCTGAGATTGGGAGAGGAATTAACAGACACCTAGGAGGGGCCTGTTCTGTCGTGGGACTTCCTCTGGTCACTTCCCCTCTCTAAGCCTCAGTTTCTCATCTGCTCCTGGTTGTTTCACCAAGCGCATGTGAAGTTCAAATAACATCAGTTCATTTGGGTGAAGAGCTTTATGAATGCATAAGCATAAGGAGATCACTTTCACTGTCATTGGAATTGGCTCTCCGGGCAGGCGTTCCTCTCAGCCTATCTCACTGCCTGACACCTTCCTCTATGGCAGTTTAGGGCGCCCAAGCAAGTCCAGGTGGATTTTACGGAAAAGGCTGCCACCTTGTGGCCAAATGCAAACCCACCGTTTACCGGCAGGACATGATGGCTTGGAAAAGGCGGCCTTGAGAACAGGTGAAGCGTCTCTGGGAAGAAGCCCCAGCTGGAACTGCCTTACAGCCCAAGTGCCAGTTCTGGGCATTGGAGGGAGGGTTCCGGCTGCCCAGCTGCGTCAGGTTGGAAGGTGGGGCTCGGGTGTGGACATGGGGGATCAGAACTTTCCTGGAAAGCCCCGACTTGGGCCCATCAGAGGACCCCTGAAGATAAGCCTCAGTTATACTTCTCCTTAAACCCTTCTCCCTAGGTGTTGGTCCTTTCTCCTGGGTGGGGTGGGGTGCAGGAGGCGTGATATTGGAGAGAGGTCCCCAGATCCTGCTCTGGGCTGGGAGGGCTCCCCACGGGCTTCTCGCCTGAGATCAACGCCCTGCCTTGCTTGGCCCCACTGGCTGCATCCACCCCGAAGAGACACAACACAGTGGTTAGTTTCCTTGTAGCTCCCACCAGACCAGGCTTCAAGCTGCAGGCTGTCCTGTGGGCGCATCTCCAAGCGACTCTGACACCAGTCAGATTAAACAAGGTAGGTGGCAGCTGGACAAGAGCACGCAGGAGGAGCTGTCTCCTGCCGGGAAATGGCCCAAATTCACTGTACTTGGGGAAATGAGGGTGTTCACCCGGGCTTCCGAGAAGGATGTTCCTCGGAACATTTTTTTTTTTTTTTTTAGCTGAGCCATCCCGCCACCTGTTGGCAGCTCACGGCTGCTCAGCTCGGGCTGACTCGAACCACTGTTGCTCAGAGCTCAAACTCTTGAGCGAGCTCTTAACCAACTGAGCCACTCAGCCGGCCCTCTCGGAACATTTTTGTTCTCTGGTTTGCTTTACTAAATCATAGCTTGCTCTGCGGGTAACGCTGACAGGGTCCATGAGGCCTGATTCCTGGTGTAAAGATGCTGGCTGCGCTCCCCTCCACCCCCCTTTCCTCCCACCTGGGGAGGCCACCCAGCCTGGGAGGCAGCAGTGACCAGAGCCCTGGGAGGGTCTCAGTGTGACGTGCCACCCAGACTTCCCGGAGTGGTTTTGTGATCTGCCCGAGCTGGGCTTGCGTCTGATTCCATCACTTACCAGATGGGGGATAACTGGCCTCAGTTTCCTTACCTGCAAAGTGAATGCCATTAGGAGCCCGTTCTTGCAATCTGGCCACTCAATTTACTTCCATTTCCTCCTCGATAGTCCAAAGCACCATTTTCTCAGGTCAGTGGCCACCAGCCTCTTCCTTCATCTCACACACACAACCACGTCAGCGTCCCCATCCATTCTCCACACTGTCTCCAGGGCACGTTTATGAAATTAAAACTGACTCCCTCTTGCTTTTAATTTAAAAAATGCAGTCTTTCATCTTTGCACCTTCTGAACCCTGCCAGCCTCTTCTGTGTTCCAGCCTAACCAATTGTCTCACCACAGGCCCTTTGCATAGACTGCCCCCTGGGTCTGGAATGTATTTTCCCCTCTTCACCTGGTTAACTCCTACTTAACTTTCAGACTCCAGCAACTTCTGTGACATTCTCAGCCTAGGTCACATCCCCCATACGTGCATCATGATTTTATAAATTGATCCTCCTTGGCACTAACACCCCTGCCATTTTCACTTCTCAGTGTAATTATTTCACTATTGTCCGTCTATATCCTTGACTGTGCGTTTCATGAGGCAAGGACCCATGTTCATGGTTAGTCACCTGCTTTGGCCCCAGAACTTAGCACAGGACCTGGCACATGGCAAGCTCTCAATAAAGTATTGTTGAAGGAATGAAAAGTGAGGATTAAGTGAAAGTATTGTGCGCAGGGCACTTTGCACTGTTCTTGGCATGAAGTGAGCATCTATAAATAGTAGCTGTTCATGATGTTATTCTAACTGTACGACTGACCGGTGGGAAACAGTTCATCTACATCATAAGTGCTCGTCTTACTTGGGTGGAGCTAAGTATGCAAGTTTTGGGGTCAATTGACCTAGTCTGGAAGAAAATACAAACACACATGTGTGCGCGTATGTGTATGCACACACACACACACAGAACTACATAAACTACTCACATCTTTCGATGTTGCCCTCAGTTTCCTGCCAGGATCTCCCAGACCTAGAATGTGGCAGCAAGGAGAAAGCCTGCCTGTCCCAGGAGGGCTGCAGGGCCCCATCCATGCAGGAGTGGGCCTGAGGGTCCTCACCGCTTATGGGTCCCAGCCCAGGCGTTCCTCTCCATCTCTGCTCCTGAGAGGGGGCTGCAGTTTGGAGAATTTAGAGCATTGAGATCCCACCAGCAAAAGCTCCTCCAAAAGTTGAAAATCCCAGCTCTGCCTGTGCATCCTGGCAGCTCCCCTTTTCTGCAGCAGCGTTTACCGTTTCCTCACCTCAAAGCATGTCCACAGAAGACCAGTGTCCACAGGAGTTTTAGAGACTTTATTTATGTATAAACCATTTAAACACTTTGCCATAAATTATCTTTGCCTGTCCCTAGTCTTTGCTTAGCAGCAAATTAAAATTAATATAAAAACTCGATGAACAATTCATACATGTATATTACAAAAAAGTTCCTGTACCAAAGTTCTTATCAGACATTTTTTTTGTTTGTGGTTTTGTTTTTTTAAAACATGTTTTTTTTTTGTTTTTTTTTTCCCCCCATTTTTGTGGGTTTTCTTTTTTAAATTTTTTTAATTTTCTCTCCTCGTGGTGACTGTCCTGTGATTGTCTCAGTTTCTGGACCAAACAAACACACTAATAATTTTAAATCGGAAACAGTGATTGTGCCTTGAGGCTATGTATGTACAGGGTGATCTGAAGTGGTGCCTGTTAGCAAAAGAGTGTCACAATGCCACACCTCTACTGCAACTGATACCCACGAACTACGGAATCTAAACAGACTACACCCTGTAACTGCGTAGTACTGTCCACAATGGAATCGTCAAAGACAAAAGAATATGAAATTTATCTGTAGTGATGATAGCCACCATTTTGAATTAAGTTTTACACTCTGCGCTCCAATAAATTAGCTCAGGCCAGGCTAAGTGGGGACCTGAGAGTTAAGTGCTGAACGGTATTATTTCGCTTTGACTTTTTGATGAACTTCCTTGGGTTTGTTTTTTTTTTTTTCCTCGTGTTTTTTTTTTTTCTTTAAAAAGGATTTCCAGTGCTCACTCTTTCACTTGTAACCCCTCCCTCCCCAGTCGCTACACACAAATCACCCCCAAAGTCGTGTTGTAAATGCACCTGTATTTTAAACGAAAACGTCTATAGTATTTGTCCAACAAGCAGTCTGAATGGTTTTCCTCAGCCGGTCCGGTGACGCTGGCCCCCATGGATGTCTGTCGCTCACGTGTGAATGAGTGAGGTAATAGGACATGAGGCCTTCTCGTCTTCATGTCTTTGTTTGTCGGTTGGTGTGTTTTGCTTTTTGTATTTTGTGGGTTTGTTTTTTTTATTGTTGTTGTTATTGTTTTGTTCCTTTTGGACACTTGGCGTCTCTTTTCTGTGTAGACCCCGAACAAGTGGGTCATATTTTAGGGGAACTTGGAACATTTTGTGTGTTTGTTCATTCATTCGTTTGTTTGTTTTTGTTTTCCTCAGAATTTTCAGCCAGGCTTTAGTCTACTTCAGGATGTGGGACTTTTTGCTTGGACAGTAGCATTTGAACTCAAAAAATGTGAGCTTTCTTGCCACTGGTACCCAAAGCAGCCCGGCCTCAGTGCCCTGTTAGGTCTTCATCTCCTTAGGAGAGGAGATAACAGTTACTCCCACTGAGCCATCCAGACGAGGAATGGCAGCCGATGATTTTGTTACCTCTTTCCCATCTCATTCTGTCTTAAAAACTGGATGTTGCTGCTACTGTCTGCGAGCTCTGGGTATTGCTCTACGGGAAGTACGTAATATCCCTCATAACCTTGCACACGTCCCGTGCTCAGGAGCTGCTGCTTCTCCCCCTCCGTCCACAGGCGGCTCCCCTCTCTCCCGTCCCTGGCTTTCTGCTGCTCCTTGGCCCAGGCGGTGCCCAGGGCCCTCTGTCTCGCCTGGTCCAGGACTCGGGCCTTCTCTTCATCCAGGGTGTCTGGGGTGAGGCCGTAGCGGATGCTGAGTAGCAGCGTGTTGTACTGGAACTCAACGTTGGTGAACCTTCGAGTCCTGCCGTTGACCAGCAGTGTGGGCTGCGACACGGTCACGTTCACCCCGCTGTCCAGCACCTTGCGGCCGGTGGTGGTGCCCAGCGTGACCAGGTCACCGTCGGCAGAGCCGATCTTCACAAAGTAGTGGGTGTCCTTGCCCTCGATGCTGTAGTGCATCTTGTCCAGGTAGTAGGCGTTGTTCAGCACGGACGCCACCTTGCGGCTGTCCTCGCTGGCGATGCTGGACACCCCCGTGGTCACCCGCCCTTCTTTGATGGCAAACATGATGCCTTTGCCGATGATGGGCGTGGTGGTGGCAAACCAGTGGCCTGCTTTCTCCCGGATGTTGGCGTGGAGCTTTTTAGAAATGACCTGTCCTTCAAGAGCTAAGAAGGCCTGATTGTGCCTCTCTGTTGTCTGCTGGACCCCTGTGATGAGCTATGGGCACAAGAAAACACAGAAAGCTGAGACAACAGGCTGGGCAACTGTGTGCACGCGGCGAAGCTCACTAAAAAAAACGTCAGAAAGAGAAAAGCATGGAGTCCCCCATGAGAACTAGTCTTCTGTCTGTAATGATATGAGCTAATATAGGCCTACCTGTTGGAACTAGGACAGGCTGGGGGTTCCCAGTGCTCTGAGGGTGTGGCCTGTCCACTTGTAACTGTGCCACTAACTAAAGAGACAGTGAGGAAGTTTGTCACCCTGCTGGCACCTGCGCCCAGGCCTACACACTTACCATGCCTCTCCATTATAGGAGAAAGAGAGTCAGTCTGCACTCTGATGGTTTGGCAGCTGCTTTGCACACTTCAGACCCAGGAATCTCCTGACCCGAAGGGCAGGGTGTTTGTTTGAGCAGCTGTGAACCCTGCTGCTGTGACCTAGATTTCTTTGAGGCCAATGCACTGCATATTTATTAACATCTTTGGATTAAGACCTTGCTACTCAAAGTATGGCTAGCAGCAGAGGAATCGCCGGCACCTGCCCTGGTAGAAAAACAGAATCTCAGACCTCACTCCAGACCTACTGAGTCAGGAGCTGCATCTTAACAAGAATCTGTGGCTGGTTGGTGTGCATATTAATGTTTGAGGAGCACCAGGCGAGGAGGCTCTAGCTTCATGGGCCAGACTGATTATCCCTGCGGTCTGAGTCAAGAGCTTTGGATTTTAGCCCTGTTTCTGCAGAGGGAGGAAATCGACACTACCGCCTTGGCCTTGAGTTTTCCACTCACAAATTACAACTTGTCTCAATTGGCGGTTGGGGGACAGGCTGGGATAATGGAAGGGGCTGTGTTTGGGAGGTAATGGCACTTAGATAAATGAGAGAAATGATGGCTATTCATCCACTAGTGGTCCCCAATGGGCAGAACTGAGAGAGCGCTGTTCTCAATTACCCAGCAGTCCCTCCTTGTCTCTTGCTAGTTACACAGTCTGGATAATTTTCAGAGCAGCTGAGACCTTTCAGACTTAGAGAGTGCTGACCACGGCTTCTGTAGCTGGGATTATCTGAATACTGGTGTTCCCCCCCCCGCCGGTCTGGCTGTGGCATAGGTCTCAGCTGCACCCAAATTGAAAATGACCACCCTTTGGTCGTCACTGAAAGACCCAAACACAAATTATGTTCTGCAAACACAATCTGTATACATTTGGGCCATAAAACACTGGGGTTTTATGTGGGGTGTAAAAATATTCTTTAATGGGACAGACACTGCAAACCATAGTTTTATTACATCCCATAAAACCCAAAAGGGTTATGCTATTATAGGCCGTGCCGATGGTAGGTTGCTGCTCGATTTCTCTGTGCTGTTGTTCATCAAAGAGTGACTCAAGGGTATATACTGAACAGATAATGATACCACAATTAAGGTAATAAGTGAGGTGCGGAAGAAATATGTGACAGCACTGACATTCACTTTCCTGGGAAGTCACAATGTTTCATGTGCCTTTTATACCCAGCTCCAGTGTTTGCCTCCTCTGCTCACATACCCTTGGCTCCCATGCGGTTCTGTTTGCAAAAGGGAATGGTGACAATCACTCAGATTTGCGGCAGGAACCTCCGCTTACCTGTCCATTCTCACTTGCTTGACTCTCTGACAATTCGTAGGGAGGAGGCACGAAGTACATTTTGGCTCTTGGGAAGCCGGGAATTATGTTGCTAAGCTGAAATCCAAACATCACAAGCCAGCTTTTCACATCTACGGTGGAAACAAAAATAAAGATTTCTGAAATCATCATGGATGGGAAGCAATAGAGGATCTGGGAGAGAGAAGAGAGTCACACGGGTGGTTGATGTGCTGATAACCCAGCACGTGGGGATTTAGAAGGCCAGTGCTGGAGCAAGGTAGATCTAGGTTCAAATGTCCTTGCTCTGTGACCTTGGCCAAGCTCCTGCCCCTCTCTAAGCTTCAGGTTCCTCACGTGTGAATTGGATAAACTACTGTACCAAACTCGTTGGGCTGTTGTGAGGACTGAAGGAGGAAACCCATGTACAGGGCTTCTCACAGTGCCTGGCACATGGACTGCTCAACAAACATGAACTCTTCCATTTGGCATCTATTAAAGGCCATTCAACGTGTTTGGAAGCTAGAGATACAATGATCACCTAGATGGGTAAGTGATGATCATTAATACTGCGTAGGGCATCTGGGCAGGGGGTGCTACATAGAGCCTGGCTCGTTATGGAAAAGAGTTCCAAGAGTGTATGGAAGGCAGAGTTTTCTGGCTCCTGAGCCCCTTTTCTCGGGGGACTACTCCCCAAGGAGAGGTCAAAAGACAGCTCTGCATGCTCAGAGTAAGATCGCCCTTCCCCTGCCAGGGATAGAGATTGAGTCCCTTGCTCTGGGAATTATACCTCCTGTCCCATGGGTCCTGCCATCCACCGAATGGTCCAGGCTCTCACAGCAAGACCACGTCCTCCAGGTTGCCTTGCCTCCTTCCACAGTGGTCAAACAGAGAGTCCTGCACATCCATCCCTCACCACACTCACAGCCTCACCCACATCATTAGCCTGGAGTCCAGCAGGGCTCACCTCTGTCTGCTCCTTATCCCTGTTTGTAACAGGTACCCCAACATCATGCCTTATGTCCCCTTTCTACTGCTTCCCAATTCCCAAAACACGTCCCTCAGGCCTTCTGGAATTCACACCCATCCTCAGCAAAGCCTCCATGCCATCAACCTCCTGCTCTAACTGAAGCCATCTCTCCCCCATGGACACTGGTTTCTCTCCTGCTTCTACAATCATTGGACCTGAAGGTATGACTACCCGTGTCAAAGGCATTACTGGCCCCAGGGCCACTCACCTGCATGTCTTTTTTTTTAAATTTAAATTTGTTTTTTCTTTTTAGCTGAGCCATCCTGCCATCTGTTGGCAGCTCAGCAGCAGCTCAGCTCGGGCCGGGAATCAAACTGCTGTTGCTCAGCGCTCACACTCTTGAGCGAGCTTGTAACCAACTGAGCCACTCGGCCGGCCCTTCACCTGCATTTCTTGATGCTTTTCTGTTCCACTCATTCTCTCCATCCCTCTGTTCCTGAATTCCCTCTAGTGATTTCATTGTACATGCAGTCGATCCTTCCAACATTCTGGCCTCTTGGTTCCTTTGCTGACCCTTCTCCCACTCACTCTCATGCTTATCCTCTGGGCCTTGTCATCACCAATGATTTTACTGGTTCCCCCATTATCTCAATTTCATGTGCATCACCCTCTGTCCACTGCTGGGACTCTTTCTAGCTTAGTCCTTTTTGTAACCCGACACTCATCCTCTTTGATCCTCTCCCCAACTTGGGACCTTCAATCCATCCTAAACTTCTTTTCCCCATCTTGATCTCTCTCCTTTTCTTACAGAGCACACATTCCATGGCCAATTGTGAGACTCCTTTCCTTGTGTATATTCTCAGATCCTTTGCCCTTTCTCACTTTACCACATTTGCTTGACAAAATCATTGTTTTGGTTACATCCAAATCCTTGCCTTTTCTATGTTTGTATCTATGCAGTTGAATGTGGCTGGAGAAATGAACATGACCGCACTGACGGGTGTCACTGTAAGTTCCTGACCATGAACCCTAATTGTCCTTCCTGCTGCCTGGCCATCTGATGATATTCCCTTCCTCTATTCGGTCATTCGCCCATTCTCCTGGGTGATGTTATATCTCTCATCTCTCTTAAAACCTCCGACACCTGCTTTCCCTTCCTCATCTAGGGCTGACCTTGTTGCCTCTTCTCCTGAGAAAACTGATGTGGCCGGAGAGGAACTGTCCCAAACTCGCATCCCATTTACTGGCCTACCAGCATCTGTACGCATAGTCCCCGCCTTCCTCCTGTAGCTGTTTAAGGCAACCCTCCACTTGTGCTCTAGGTCACATCCTTACTTGCACACTCAAGGACATCACTCCAACTCTCTCTTTCTCTCCCATGTCATCCATTTACTCCCTTTTCCAATGGATCAACCCCATCAGCACACAAACATGCTAGTAAATGTCCCTTAAAAAAGAATTCCTCCCTCATCTCTACTTCTCCTTTTAGCCACCACCCATCTCTCATCCCTCTTTACAAAAACTCTGCAAACTCAAAACAATTCTCTAGACTCACTGCCCCTCATTCTCCTCTTCCTGTTCTCTTTTGAATCAGGCTTGCCCTTGACTATACCTAAACAACTTTCGCTGAGGTTACAAACGACCTTCATGCTGCCAAGTCCAGTGTTAATCTGGGCCTTCATCTTACTGGACCCATCAGAAGCATTCGATGATGTGAATGCTCCTGCCTTTGTTTTTTTCTTTCTTGACTTTCTGGACAGTGCATTCTCTTGTTTATCCTTCTGCTACCTTCATAGCCACTCCTTGTCCCTTTGTGGCTTCTCCTCCTCCCCCTGATCTCTGTTTTTTTTTTTGGCTGAGCCATCCTGCCACCTGTTGGCAGCTCAGCGGCAGCTCAGCTTGGGCCGGGAATCGAACCGGCGACCCTGCTGCTCAGAGCTTGTACTCTTGAGCGCGCTCTTAACCAACTGAGCCACTTGCCCCCGGCCCCGCCCCCCATCTCTTAATGTTGGCGTGCCCTAGACTCCTAGACTCAGTCTATGACCAGAGAGGAGACCCCATCTATTGTCACAGGCATGGTCATCTCATCTGGTCTCAGGGCCCTAAATACCATCTCCATGCTGATGCTGACTCCAAAATCTGTACCTTCATCCCGGATGTCTCCTTGAATTCCAAATTAGCGTATCTAATTACATTTCAAATTTACATCCAAAACTGAGCTCCCGCTCCTCCTCCTGCGCCCCCTCCCCTAGTCTTTTCCGTCCTTGCAGCTACCAACATTGACCATTTTTCTCACTCCCACATTTAATCCATCAATAAATCCTTCACTTTTAAAATTTTTAAAAAACTTTACAAACAATGCTGCTATGAACATTTGTGTACACATTTTTCTTGAAAACCTGTTTTCAGCCCTCTTTAGTGTACACCTAGGTGTGAACTGCTGGGTCATATGGTTAAATCCTTTACTTTTATTTCTAAAATAGATCCAAAGTCTGTGTTTACTTCTCACCGTTTCTACCACCTCAACCCTGGCCCAGCGTCGCTTGCCTGGACTTCTAACTGGCCTCCCAGCTTGCGCCGCTGCATCCCACAAACCTTGGCAGCACAGCAGCCAGAAGGAGCCTTTAAACGTGGAGCAGACCATGCCATTCCTCTGCTCAGAACATTCTGGGGATCCCCGCCTCCATTTCTCTCAATGAAAAGCTAAAGTCCTCCTAATGGTCTACAAGGACCCTCACTCCTTGTCTCTCTGACCTCATCCCCCCACCCCCACCCCCTCCACCCCTTGCTCACTCAGCTCCCGCCTCTGTGCTGTTTCTTGATCACACCAGGTGCACACTTGCCTTGGGGCCTTTACACTGACAAGAGCCTCTGCCTGGAGTGCACGTCCCCGAAAGCATCTCCTGGCTTGCTCAGCTCTTTCACGTCGTCTCAGATGCTGCCTCTCCAGTACAGCTAACCCCAACCACCACATTTAAAACCTGCCCCCACCGCCATTGCCCCCCCCCCCCCAGCAATCCTAAGTCTCCTTACTTGGCTCATCTCCCTCCCGAATCTCCCTCTCCCCAGTGATCACATTCTAACATGCTGCATCATTTGTACGTTTATTATATTTATTGGCTATTGTAAGAATGTAAACTCCACTAGGCCAGGGAGTTAAAAAAATCTGTTTTAGTCACTGATGTCCCCCCAGGACCTACAACAACGCCTTGCACGAAACAGGTGCTCAGTAAGCATCCATGGAATGAATGAATGGAGGAATGAACACTGAACATATGTGGCAAAAGCTACCCTAACTGGTACAAGTGTGACAGAAGAACTAGCTGTACTTCCTGAGAACACGCTTCTGCAGGGGCTAAGCATCCTCGTGCCTGGGACTGTCGTGAGGGAGTTAATGTGGACTTTGCTACAAAACCTACAGGCAAGAAAGAACCCTGAGGGGGAGCTTGGGATCCATGGTACATCCACTGGCCTCGGCCTTGGACACAGATTAGCTCCTTGAAGGACTTGGCAAGTACACATATTCGTGACGGCCCATATAAGAGTGGTTGAAGAATACAGGTTTGAAATTGCCTTAAGAAAATGTGTCAGCATCAAGCAGGGAGAAGCCTGGTTTTAGTCCAGCAACAATCACGTGTTGACAGAGAAGCTACTTTGTGCAAAGTTAGTGCTGGATGGTGTAGAGCATGGGTTTACCAACGTTGGAAATCGTGTGCGCTCATCACAAAGGTGTTGCTATATCCAGGTATCACCTGTACTAGCATTTACTTCCTGATTTCTGAAAAATAAAATTTGCCTTTTCCACGGAAGTAAACCCACCTTTAAAAAGAAACTTTGTGAACTGAGGGTTGCTAGTTGGGAGGGGGTGGGGATGAAGGAGAAGGGGAAGGGATGAGACAATACAAATTGGTAATTGTAATATGACCTCAGGGATAGAAAAAGACAGTCCGAGGAATATAATCAATAATGTTGTAAGTATTTCTTAGGGGCCCAGATGGACCCATGTCCTTTTGGGGAGTCCACTTCATAGTCGATGTAGAGGCCTGACTACTGCATTGTATTTCTGAAACTGATGTTGAATAATACTGTATGTCAACTATAATTACATATATACATATAGTCTCTGGACATGGAGTAGAGAGCGGGAATGGATTCAATGGAATTGTAATAGATAAGCATGATATCGGGTGTGGGAGGGCAATAGATGGGGGGAGGGGGGTTGTTACCTGGTGAGGGTGAAAAGGGTAACTATTGCATTGTTCTGTACACCTGAAACTAACAATAAAAAAATAAATTAATAAAAAAAAGAAAGAAACGTCGTCACTACCATAAGTGGGAAAGCAGACTCACTCGATGCAAACAGAAAATAACTGTAAAGTTCAAACAAAGAAAACAATGCAATTCAACTGAGCATGATTCGGGTTACCAGCTACTGAGGGAGTCTTAGATCTGCTGTCTCCGTTAAAAAGGGAGATTAGAAGTGTTAATGAAGTGTTAAATACATACCAGTATCCAGCGGAGACGGTTCTCTTCCTTGACTGATTTGGAAGAATAAAATGAGGACTGAAAAGGCCTAACTTTCCCATCTGTGATTCCATGTTATTTAATAATACCTCATCTGTACACCACAGGAAATCATCCTGTCTTTCACCAGGGAGACGCAGTACATGCAGGGAAGTCCCAGAGAGGCAAGAGAAGTCCTTGCCTTTGGAAGCTTCTCCCCATCCGGGTCTTCTCCCTGGAGGGACCCCTCCCTAGCACTGCGGAGGTGACCTCTGGTCCCTGCCTCTGAGACCACGATTTTAATGGCCACTCCCATGAGCAATAATGGCTCATGTCATCTACCTTTTTTAGAGGTTCTAACATGGCTTGGTTTCCGAGTCTAACCCTATTCTGAAGTGTTTCTTCAAGTTGCTGGCCTCCTCTATTTGCAGAAGGCACAGCACCAACACCCCTCCTCCTTTCAAAGTAACTGGTGCTGTCCGGTGACAGGCTCCCAAAACAATCTGTTAAGAGGGAATCGCTGAGGCAGGGGATGGCGGTGCGGTCCCTCTAAGAGCTCATTACTTCCCTCTTCTCAGGTTCTCCGGGACATGTGATCACGTTGCCAGCTCCAACGCAAGTGTTCTCTCTCCAAAAATGCTGTCAGCACAGCAGCTTGGCTGTTATGGGTCGATAGAAGGGGGTGATGGGAGGAGGCTGTGCCTTCCTCCTCACGTAGGGAAATGAAACCCCAGGAAATCTGACTTTATGCTTACGTGTGCCTGGGGTTTTCAGCCCAAAGATCCGGCGGAGGAAGGGATGAGAAGAAAATAGAGTCAGGGTGGGAGACAGCTAGGAGGTTCGCTCAACTCCCAGTGTGTCTGGGGTTTCGGGCTTGCCAAAGCCATGGCACTCACAGCAGAGCCTGAGTCTGTTTCTGGGTGGAGCTGGAGACCCCTCCCTACACCCCCCAAAAAAGTATACAAGGTCCCAGCCTCTGAGTCCATTGCTGCTTATACGAGTACATCACAAATGCATCCCTACCATTTACTGGCCTTCTCGCTATGCTAGGTGCTTTACACCTCACGGTTCATTTACTTGTCACAACCCCAAAAAGGGTTAATGCTCTTGGTATCATCTTTTTGCTGATGAAGAAACTAAGGCTCAGAAAGGTCAGATGTTTGCTCAAGTTACACAGCAAGTGATTGGCAGAGCCAGAACTGGTGATGTGCTCAGGCTCTGCCATCAGGAGGAACCGGCCTAAGGACAGGCAAGCTCGGGGCTGGGCTCTGGTCCCAGATTGTCCAGCAGCGGGGAGGCCTCCTGGGATGCTAACATTGGGGGGGGTCTGTCTCCCAGCCTGTCTTTTTACTAATACCTTTTTTTATCACAGACGTATCAATCATCAATATATTACCTGTAAAATAGCTATTAAAAAGGGTGCTGCTTTGGAGCCGCGAGCAGGAAAGGAATCGCTTCTTGCCCTTCCTTCACCACCTCCTGGCAGCCACACCTTTACTCCAACCCAGGTGTCACAGGGCTCCTAACGGGTCCCCTGTACACTCTCCTTTGTGCCAGTGGCATCTCTGGGAGGAAGCAAACTGCCTCTGGCCTCAGGAGCTGCTGCCAGCATTCAGAGAGCTGTTTCCAGACAGCAAAGATGCTCTAGAGCACCAGAGAGAGAGAAGGTTCTGTTTTTTTTGCGTTCCTCCCCACTACATCTTAATTACTCCTTCAGCTTAAATTGTGAGTGGCAAGTTCAACCACTCTGCTCAGCTCCTAAGTGGCAAATTAAGACTCATTTAGACGGGGTTTACAGATGAGCCAACACGCGAGTAGCGGAGAATGAGTTGGTGTTCTCTGCTGGGATGCCCTCTCTGGGTGTCGTCTCATCCTGAGTGGGCAGCAGGTGTGGGCCTGTGTCTGCGTCCTGTTCTCTCTCTCCCCAGGCCCCCCTTACACCAGCGCTGACTAGACATCGGCCTACACACGGGGTTTCTCCAACACTACCTTTTATGTCAGACTCTTTCTAATGGTTTCTGGATTCAATTTTGTTGGACTTAGTTCAACTTGATTTAATTCCCATTTATTGAGTCTCCATGAAGCACTGAAATGAGGAAAGCCATCTTGCCATTCAGAAAATTCTGCTAATTTTTTTTTTTTTTTGCCTTTTCAGAAGAACCAGGAAAGTAGCTGAGGGGTCAGTTGAGGTTGATTGTTCTCTGAGAACGATTTTGTTTGGGCCTTGGCAGCTGTGACTATCTGCGCAGTTCACTTTGAGGGCTTCTGAAAATTTGCCGTGGCTGATGCATCCCTCATATCCAGGGCTAAGCAGGGCTTTGAGAAACACATTCTGGGCAGTGGGAGATTCTTCTGCGGCTGTGACAGGCATGGCCTGCCTCCGCGTCCACACTGTTTACTCTGCCCAGAACCCTCTTCCTCTCCCTCCCCCTCCCCCACTTCATAAAGGTCTCTGCTCGAATGTCCCCTCCTCGGAAAGGCCACTGTGAACACCATAAACAAAGCGGACACTGCTCACCACTGTCTAACCCCTTATCCTATGTCCTTCATCTTCACAGCACTTATCATTATCTGAAACTACATACATGTGTGTGTGTGTTCCTGAGACGTCCTTTAATTTGAAGCTGCAGGGAACTGGGGGAGAAAGGAAGAGAGGAAGCTCTGGCCCAGGAGCACAGGAGTGCCTCCTGACAAGGTACAGCGGGCAGGATGTGGGGAAGATCTTGGCCATAGGTCCTGGGCTCCAAAGGGACCAGCTGCTTCAATGGGTCCAGAACTTGTCAGTGAGGCATGGCATGGCCACGCATTGATCTTTAACATCATCTATTTCTTTCTGCAGCCTGGGACGCTGAGGGCAGCACTGTGCTCCAGGTAGCTGCCTCTTCCTTTCCTATCTTGGGGATGGACAAGTGACCCTTTGAGGGTAGAGGCCCAGTAGGCTTGATGTCTCCTTGGCTCATGGCCAAGAGCTATGAGTTTCCTGGAACTTGGGGGTGGGGCTTGGACTTGGGGCCCCCAGGTTGTCCCTCTGCAATGCATGGGCAAGTGAGATAACCCTAGCTTCTTTGCTGGAAGTTGGTCTCTTTGGATGTCTCTCCATCTCTCCATCCATCCATCCATCCATCCATCCATCCATCCATCCATCCATCTATCCATCCATCCATCCATCCATCCATCCATCCATCCATCCATCCATCTATCCAACTATCCATCCAGATTTCCTTGTTTATTTCCCTGAGGGACTTCATCTTGATCTTCACTGTATCTCTAGCACTTAGTATATGTGTGGTGCTATGGAAATATTTGTTGAATGGGTGAATGGATGGATGGATGTGGGTGGATAGGGAGCCTCATTTCACCAATTCTCACTTATCTTGAGGAAGTAGATTATTTGCCCTCCTTAGCCTCTCTATCCATACCATTCTCAAAGCTTCCATTGTCCGTCTGACTTTTGCTCAGTTTGTTTTAGCCTTGACCCATTTCTGCCAACAAGATCCCCTTCGTCAGGCCCAGTGTGATATGGAGCCCTACTGTACATCAAGATTTTCAAATCTTAAGTCATCTACATACACACGCACATACACACCCACACACCTTTGAGAGAAGGGTGTTTGTCTTATTCACCATATTGCCAGAATCTAGCATGGTGCCACTCTAGAAATGCTTGTTGAATAAATAACAGAAGAGAGACCTATAAGGTAGCACAGACTTCATTCTGCTTTGTGTCATCACTGGTTATTTGTAGGTTTTACCTTGGCAGCCTGGTGGTGAGGTCAGGGACTGGGTTGTAGTCACCTCAGCCCCTATGCTAACTCATCGCTACACTAGTAATGATAATGTTAATAACACGAGCAGATACCCTTTTGTGAACACTGACTAAGTGCAGGCTCTAGACTTTATCTACATATGTTTGTTTACTCTGCAAATCATTCTATGGGGTGGTTTCATTAGTTTTATTAGTGGAAACTACAGCTCAGAGAGATTGGACAACTAGCCCATGGTCCATTGGCTTATAAATCAAAGAAAGAGAATTGGAACCAAATATTTCTGACACCAGGGTCACATTCTTTCCCCCGCCATAAGGCTGTTTCCATCTGTTGGGGTAGGAAGGGCTCTTATAAAACTTATTTCAACTGAATGGACTTGGAAATGGTCAGGCCATCTTCAAACAGACTTGGTGACTGCTCTGCCCTGCTGCTACTTGACAGTTCTAGGTACTGTACTGCCCAGTGTTTGCACCTCTCCAGGATTCTAACCTAGCATTAGATGTAAGACCTTCTGAAGTTCCCAACAGTCTACCAGGGCAACCACCCCCCAAGGAGCCACTGCCCAACTGAGGCGGCAAAGTCCTCACCTGTCACGTAGTTCTTCAAATCCAGTTCATTGCTGAGAGGATTGTTGCTCTTGAACATATACAGGTTAAAGGGGGCTGGTTCCTTGCCCACGTTTTTCCACATGGTGTAGTCTGGAGAGGTCCATCGTCCTGCCAGCACATCATAATCACGTTGAGTGAAGTGGACCAGCTTGGTTAGGGGATCGTAGAGACCCCCATGGAAGCCAATGACCATCTGGAAGTCAGGGTTGGAATCATAATATATTTCCCCATAGGCCGTGTACTGCAACTGTTTGATCATGAGACCATTGATGCTGAACACAGCCAGGGGAGTCCCTGTATTATCCGAGGCCACATAGTACTCCTCCCCACTGCTGCTCTCCATGGCAAAGAGGTGACCTTGGAGGTCATAGTAGAGTGAGGTAATCTCTGAGTTGGAGTGATTATAGACATGGGTGATGCGAGTCGGGTTGTGGAGGTCCGAGTAAAAATACTGCAGATGGTGGCCCAGGTTGGTCTTGTAGGAAGCCCGCCGCCCCACTCCATCATAGCGGTATTGGACGCTCCACCCACTGGCCTTGTTGTAGGCTCTCGTTAGGAGGCCCTTGGAGTTGTACTCGAAGATATCAGCCCCTCGCTGGCACAGGTAGCCATCATCATCGATTTTGTACTGCACATCACCAAGCCTGGTTATCCGATCCCGAAGGTCATAGCGCAGGGGCATGAGGCGTACGCTATTGCCCGGGTTCAGCAAGTGGAGGTTCCCATTGAGGTCATAGCTGTAGCGCCAGGTCGGGCGGTCATTGACAGCCACACTCTGGAGCTGCCCATCCCCGTCATAGTCATAGGTGTACTTGGTGGTGTTGGCATAGGGCCCCAGTTTTAGCTCCCTCTTGATCACTCTTCCCATGCTGTCATACTGCACCGTCATCCAGTACATGAGGGACCGGAACATCTCGTACTGGACTTCCTTGATCCGTCCGTGGGTGTCAAAGTGTTTGCTGAGGGTCATCACGGCAGTGGTGATGATCTGGTTGATGTCATAATAGATAACTCCAAACTTTCCAAAGTGCTCAACCTTGCCAGAAATCTCATCATAGCGGTAGAGGTCCACAGGAAGGGGAGTTTCACTTATGACGGGCTTAATGCTTGCGATCCGGAAGCTGTTGTCATGATAGGTATAGTCAAACCTGGCGTTGACCATGCCTTCCTCAGAGAACCTGTAGATCTGCTTGTCTACCAGTGGGCCAATCTTCCGGTACCTGATGGTACAGGAGAAACCCCCACTTTGGAGGTTGACCATCTTCAAAACACCAGTGGTTTCATCATACCCGAATGTGACGGCGGTGCTGTCATAGACAATCTCTGATAACTTGGAGAGTTTCCCATACTTGTAGAACACCTGGCGCCCGGTGCCCAAAAAGGACGTCTTCAGGATGCGGCCATCATCACTGTAGTCAAAGATGACTGAAGCGTTGCTTTCAGGTGGGTTATAAATGTTGCGGATGTAGCCAATGGAGGTGTGTGTGGACATGCTGTGCCGGGCCACGCTGGGCATGGTGACGGCGTGGAGACGGTCCGAGGAGTCATACTCGAATATGTACTGACGCTGACTCTGAAGCAGGAGGACCATGGACTGGAGGAAGGAAAGGGGAAGGGGACACATGAGTTGGCTCTTCAGGACCAATCACTCACATTGACAGAATTTATTCCATTTCCCCAAATGTTACTTCACAAGACATGAAGGATGAGGAAGTTTTGACCAGAGATTACGAGTAGATTGATTTCACTGGGCATGCCAACTCTAGTGGATTATGGCGGCTGGCTGGAGTGGTGCTTCCCAAACTTTAATGTGCACGAGAAACACACAGGGCAAACAAGTGTTGGCAAGGTTGTGGAGAAAAGGGAACCTCATGCACTGGTGGTGGGATTGCAAATTGGCGCAGCCACTATGGAAAACAGTACGGAGAGTCCTCAAAACATTAAAAATAGAACTACTTTATAACCCAGCAACTCCACTCCTGGGTATTTATCCAAAGCAATCCAAAACACTAATTCAAAAAAATATATGCACCCCTATGTTTATTGCAGCACTATTTATAATAGCCAAGACTTGGAAACAACTGAAATGCCTATTGGTAGATGACTGGATAATTGTGGTACATTTATACAATGGAGTATTACTCTGCTATAAAAAAGAATGAAATCTTACCATTTGCAACACCATGGATTGATGTAGAGAATATTATGATGTAGTGAAATAAGTCAGACTGAGAAAGGCAAATACCATATGATCTCACTTATATGTAGAATCTAAAGAACAGAATAAACGAGCAAACAAAATAGAAATAGACTCAGGTAGAGAAAAAATGGATGGTTGCTAGATTGGCGTGGGGGTTGGGAGATGGGGAGAAGGTGAAGGGATTAGAAACTACAAGCTGGTAGTCACAAAATAGTCACGGGGATGTGAAATACAGTATGAGGAATATAATCCGTAATGTTGTAAAGATCATGTAGGGTGCCAGGTGGGCACTGGACTTATCAGGGGGATCACTTCATAGACTGTGTAGATGCCTGACCGCTGCGCTGTACACCTGAAGCTCAAGTAGAGACTTAAGGGGGGTTATCGCTTTGTGAGGGGTGTAAGTGTCTACTCATTATGTTGTTTTGTACACCTGAAACTAATACAATAAAAAAGAAAGAAAGAAAGAAATATGCAGGGACCTTGTTAAAAGGCACATTCTGAGCCAGTAGCTCTGGGAGGAGGTGGGCCTGGGAATCTGCTTTTGTAACAAGCTCCCAGGTGGTGCTGATGGTGCTTGGACCATTCTTTGAGTAGAAGGACAGAGGAGAAAGGCACTGAATTTGCCTCCGGACTCAGTAACAAGGAATCCTGAAATTGTTTAGAAATGACTGCCACTGACCCAGCAGGGGACAGGGGTGACGCCCATACTATGTTTTTGCCACCCTTGATTAAATCTAAAGAGAAAGCACATCCTCCATTTAGAAGCTACTGAAAAGATTAAATCTCCCAGAATCATTGATTCTTTGGGGGAAAAAAATGGCCTCAAGCTCGAGGCAATTAGGAGATCCCTGCCTTCTCTGGTCAAGCAGTCCAGTATTTTATGGCTGAGAACAGTTTCCAGGGAGGAGCTAGAGGGCAGCAGCCCCTCTCTTGCAGAGGAGGTAACAGCGCCGTCTGCAGGTGAACACTGTAATCAGCACGTGAGAGAGGAAGGAACGGAAATGGACCTGCATCCAGGTGAGTGCCCATGAGAGGGTGCGTGAGCCTGCGTCTAACGACTAAATGACCAGGGCAGCCTTCAAAAACCTTGACGTATGCCCTAGGAGGGACCTCCTTTAAATGCTGCTCCACGCGACCTCTTCCGACATGAAGACCTGAACCCGGCACTTTCAGACACAGGGAATTCTGTCGACAGGATCTGTTAGCTGGGCCAGGCGGGAGGGTGTTGCTCTGGGGGCTCGAGCTGTAGGCAACACTCCCTACCCTGATGGTTTAATTTCAGGCGAGGCCGAAATGAGTCACTGTATTTCCAATTCATAAGCAATGACTAGCTAGCTGTGCTGCCAGTGACAGAGTCTGTCAGCGTCAACAGCACTTATTATTATTATTCAAAATCAAATCAGACAATCTGTCCTTTCTGCCATTACTGAGTGTCTAGCACTTTTTTTTTCTTTTGCTTTCAATGGTATTGGGTTGTCGGAAAAGTCATGACGCGTTTTTGCAACGAAAAACATAGGAAAAAATACGTCATGGCTTTTCCGACAACCGCACAGTAGAGCTGAGCTATGAATACCATTTTCTTTCAGGCTTCCTTCTTCCCAGTGAGGGTGGGTGGAGTGTGACCCTTGTAGAGTCAAAGTAAAGATGTTAAATGTCTTATGGCAAAGCGTATCAGGTTCACGTAGAAAGGGCAATGTGAGTAAGAGACAGCACCAGCTGACCGAGGCGGCACGCTCACCCACCTTGTCCAGGTAGGAGTAACTCCACACTTTCCCGTCGGCAAACATACGGGACACGATCCGGCCTTGCTTGTCAATGTCGGTCCGCTCGCTCATGGCCCCACGCTGCAGGCCCGCCAGGCGCCCATTGAAGAAGTAGGAGACATTGACGGCCGCCAGCCCGCTGCTGGGGAGCCAGAGGAAGGGGCGGCCCACCTGGTCGTAGATGATCCTTAGGGTGAACTTCCGGTGATCATCATAGATCTTTTCTGTGCGGATATTCCGGTCATAGTCGATGGACAAGAGGTTCCTCCCATGGACCTAGGAAAACACAATGGGCCTGGTTGGAAAGGCATCGCCTGGGCAGGTCAGCGCAGGCATCTACGGGAGACATGGCCGTTGTGGCCAGGGCACAGTGCGCGTTGGAGAAAGAAATAACCTTGATGTTATTCAGACTAGTGCTTCTAAACTCCTTCACCTCATGGTACATGTAGAAAATGGTAATATTTGAATGCTGCACCGGAATCCAGAAACAAGGCTGCTCGTGGTCAGAGATGGCTGATCTGGGCACGGCTGCAGTGAGCAGTTACCTAGGCTGTGTACTGCACAACTACAAGGGGTGCCATCACGTTGTAGAAAGTGGGAATGGTGAAAATGGTGCAGTGCACAAATTACATCACCATACGCAACAGTCCTGAACCTGGAGGTTCTGGCTGCCTTGACTTGCCATCCTAGGGACAAGAGAATTTGTATACAGGCATACTTTCTTTGGATGCACTTTGCTTTATTGCACTTTTTACAAATTGAAGCCGGGGACCTCTATCAGCAAAAAGATTACGAGTCACTTTATTGTGAGCGTCGCTTTAGTGCAGTTGCCTAGAACCCAACCTACCTCCGAGGTATGCTTGTCTTTGCACACTTATAACCCTTTTTGGGTCATATCATCAGCTGAGTAGGTAACGATCTTTAAGAGCAGGTGCCAAGACTTGTTCTGAAGCCTTAAGTAAAGGTACCTAGGAGGGTGGGGAGAAGGCCTTAGAAATCCATATTTTACAAAGATCTGGGAATCTGAAGGCTCATTCCTATGGGAACTCCTTTACATCTACCTAGAGAAAAATCTTGTCAAGGATGCAAGACATCAGCGAGGAGACCTGAGCAGGGCTGGGGAATTCCAACAAAGGGAAGGACCGATTTACTGAGATTTGAAAGGAGCAGTGGAACTCATCCAGACATGATTTAATATAAATTTAGAAGTTGATCTGATCTGACAGAGAAGAAACCTGTCCCAGAAGGCAGAGCTGGGAGACTAGACTCTGCTTAGGGGTAAAGGAGAGGACTCCTGAGGTTCATCTAGCTCTGAGTGGAGGGCTGGAAGTGAGTAAAATGAGGCCAAATTCAGCTCAGGCGCTTTCAACATAATTGACTGCAAATCCAGACGTCCCTGGGGTGACCATTGGAGGCAATGGAAAATGGAAGTGGGCAGAAGGAAAAGATGTGATAGATGTCTGGTACCTCTGGAGTTTACCCTAATAATTCAATAGCACTGAAGGCTAATAGTGATGATGGTGATGATGATGGTAATGATAACTTTAATGTGCACTGAAAGCTAGTACATGCAGGGATTGCATTAGGTGATTTGCACCTATTGTTTGAGTTGATGCTCACAAGGATCACTCGACAAATAAGGAAACTGAGCGTGAAACAGAGAGGTTACTTACATACTTGCTTGGGGTCACACAGAAGCGAACTGGGAGGGTTTGTCTGGAACTTAGGTCTTAAGGCCAGTTAACCTCTTAGACATTTAACCAGCTTCACTGCTCTCTGTACTATATACACGCTGAGTGCCCTGGATCTGTCAAATGAGGCAGAGACTGAAAAAGCAAGCCACAGCCCTTGAGGGCTCCCTGTTCCAGCTTTTTGGGAAGATCAGGGATAATTCCAATACCACAGACGCCTGCGTTCTGGGGAGCAGCACTGCACCCAGAACTACACTTAACAGCTTCCTTTGGAGGTAGGGGTGTGGCTAACGTGATGTAAGTGGTAGCTGTTAGCTGGGTCTTCTGGGAACCTTAAAGGACGCTGACTCAGCTAGGAAGCAAGCATCCTTTTGTTGTTTCTCGCTTTCCTCCTTTTCGTAGGTGGAATGTGGAGGTGATCCCTGGAGCTCCAGAATTCACCTTGTGAAGATGGGGTGACTTTGAGGATGGAGACCCCAAGGATGATGGCTCACCCAGAGAAAAAGAGTCTAGACCCCATTGACCTAGGTGTCTTCCATGGTCATCCACACCAGCCATGCATTGCTTACCCCGAGACTCCTTCCAGGTCATAGAAATATTTAGCCTGTACCTTGTTTCAGCTGTTGTTATTTCTAAACTCTGTTCCTACCTAGCAAGTTGAAACTAATCTAATCGGATGCAAGCCTCTTATGTTTTACAGGTACTGTGCTAGGTACTTTTGCATACCTGATCCCAGTTTAATCATCACAACAAAGGTAGAAATTATTTTATCTATGCGCAATCGAGCTCAGAGGGGTGACATAGCTAGACAACGCACAGGGGCCGAATTTGAACCAAGGACTGACTACTGGATTCCCCAACCTATTGCTGTTTCCATGGAATCATCCCAGAGTGAAGGCTGTAGAACATTTGTGATAGAATATTTAGAAAAGACAGCACATCGAAGCATGGAGCTAGAAATGAAGGTGGTGAGTCCTTCGCGTTGTAAGGAAACCACTTCAAGTGGGAAGATCCACGTCATCAAAGTTGCAGCAACTGGGAAGAGCCGAGAAGGCAAAAAGTGAGGGGGTAGCATTTTCTTTAATGGGTCCAAATGCTGTCAGAATTACTGGGGTCTTGATCCCAAAGTAGAATCACCATATCCAGAGCGAAGCACAGGCTGGGGACAGAACGACCACTTCCTCCTGAGACAGACGTTCGGCCACATGGGGTTGCCACACTTGGGACAACTGCAGAAGGTTCTTAAAGCTATGCGTTTAAGAATTTCTGTTCAAGCCCTCACCAATGCTTTAGGGGGCAGAATGAATAATGTGGCAGCAAGGGGGAAAGGTTTTCAGTGTTCCCTGAGCCAACAGCTGGTGACCCCACCATGCCTGCGTGTTTCCCGTCTCCTCCTAGCCTCCTTGCCTTTCCTTACTTCCCCCCCACCGCGTGCTTCTCTTTGATAACATCATGCAGCCCCAGTGCATTTATTATTCATTGAACATGAAATCTGTGCTAAGGCCAGGCTTGGTGCCTGCTCGGGAATGCAAGGACGAATGACACCAACGAAGCAATGGCTTACCATATTCTCAGCACTGCCCGTGTTTCATCTTATTTAATCCTCACAACAACACTCTCAGGCAAGCACTATGATTACCCCCATTTTACACGCAAAGCACAGGTAGGTGAAGTGTCCTGCTCAAGTTTGTACACGTAGTAAGCTGTGGAGCCAGGATCCCAACACAGAGTCTGCTGTGTCCACCTCTCAGTACCGCCCCTCTGACCAGCGGCTCTCCATCAGGCCTGCAATTCTAAGCCACCTGGGCTGCTCCCTCCAAGCCCTGCTGCGGGACTGACTCTACAGTGCTGAGTCAGCCCCCCAGGGAATAGAGGCCAGGTGATTCTGATGTGCACCTTGGGTTAAAATGCACTCAGTGGGATATGCAACCCTATCTGCAGTTACTTGGGAGAGACCAATAGGTGAGTCATATACGCACAACATAAACGTGCATGTGTGTATCTGTATGTGTGTGTGTGTGTGTATATATATATATATATATATATATATATATATATATATATATGAGAATATATACTATAACACAGAATCCTGAGAGGTACCAACATATAAATCATGTATATTAGCATGACTATCATTATAACAACTCAATTAGAATGTCAGGGTGCTAAGATTGCAGAAAGAACTGAATAGTGGACAAGCACAGAAGAGGGGTCCCCAACCTCTGACTGCCAACATTTGAGTTTGTTGCTACTACTTAGAGCTGACGGACCTCTGACCCCTGACCTGGGTGCACCAACCATAAAGAATAGGCACTAACCATTAGCCATTGATAATTTAAGGTAGGACTTTATTACCAAATTCATCATGTCCCCGGGAAGGGATTTTATTATAGCTCTGGTTTGAGTTAACTTTTCATTTTCCTGTTTCATTGCGATCTAATTGACCTACATCACTGTATAAGTTGAAGGTGGATACCTAATGATTTGACTTACATATATCGTGAAATGATTACCTCGGTAAGTTTAGTTAACATTCATCATCTCGTACAGACAAAAGAGAAAATGAAAAGCGAGTATTTTTCTCCTTGTAATGAGAAGTCTTAACAACTATTATATATGGATATATCATTCAGCAGAGCTCATTGCAGTCTTCATGTTGTACGTCAGCTCCCTAATCCTTAGTTATCTTACGACTAGAAATTTGTGCTTTTCCACCACCTTCCTCCAATTACTCCTTCCCCTAGCCCCGCCCCCTGGTAACCACAAATAAATAATCTGATCTCTTTTTCTATGAGTTAGGGTTTTTTTTTTGTTTTTTGTTTTAAGATTCCACACATAAGTGAGACCATGCAGTATTTGTCTTTTCTCTGACTTATTTTACTTAGCACAGTGCCCTCCAGGTCCATGCATGTTGTTGCAAATGGCAGGGTTTCCTCATTTTATATGGCTGAATAATATTCCATTGTATACATATATACCACATTTTCTTTATCCATTCATCCATTGGTGAGACTTAGGTTATTTCCATGTCTTGACTATTGTAAATAATTCTGCTATGGATTTGGGGGTGCAGATAGCTCTTGGACAGTGTTTTCATTTCCTTTGAATATATTCCCAGAAGTGGAACTGCTGGATTGCATGGTTGTGTCTTGTCTACGAAGAGTTGCTATTTCTTCTTGTGAGGGGGAGTGAAGTCAGGACCAACCTATATCGCCATCCTGGTGATGTCACTACAAGTTAATTCCTGAAATATGTAATCTCTATAAAAATGCCCAATCCTTCTAATAATTAAATATGATAAATTGACTGGAAGCTGAGCCAAGGAGATCAGGCTAGTTGTGTAATTTGATTAGAATCAAATATCTTTAATTATGAAGGTGCCATTTGTGAAGAGGGGGTACCTCAGCTGTGGGGTGTGAGATGTTGGAGGGTTCGACAGGCATCGTCAACCCTTCCTGGGCACCTGCCCCCCAGCTTAGATTGTGCAGGAGCTTTAATTTAGCCACACTGTTCTCTTTTTCCAAATTAAATTACCCATCTAACAATATTTAAATTAACCTTGAGGCTTCCTGGAGAACATAA